TTGAGGCAGTGAAGAGTGAATATATCGTATCATTTCTTTTGAGACGAGATACGACCACTTCCCCCCCCTCCCCCAGAAGAGCCAAGTACGACCTCCCCTGAAAGGCTTCTGCTAACTATTTTGTACTCTGCTCGGAAAAATTGGCTGGACTAAAGTGCTACCACGTAGCTCTTAATCTTGAAACCAAAGAAAGTGTAGTCCCAAAAGACAAGAAGGTGTAGTCCCAGAAGGCATTTCTGTCGATAGTAGTAGTGAATATACTACAGAACAGTGGAAATCACTATTCCTTATTGAACACCAAAATGCATACCCTTCTGAGCTGAGTGATTTGGGGAAAACATTCCTCTCCAAAAGATTCCGCGGATCCCTCGCCTTTGATGCATCATGCTTTAACGTTTGTTATAAAGGATAAACCAGGTTAGCTTCAGTTTACACCAGACGATTGTGACATTTCATCAAAATAACTCCGAGGATTTTCAGGTTCTGCTCACAAAACCAGACATCGATGATCCTCAACGACGAAAAAATCTGCAGGCAACTATTGAAAGCCTTCTTTCGCTCAATATCATTCCTATTGTAAATGCCAACGACGCCGTTGCACCGGATCCGAAACTGAATATGGTGAGTATGATGTCACTCGCAGGGTAGTTTACTTGCATGGATCAGTCCTTTCTACTTCTGGGATATCGCTTTTGTCGCTCGTAAATGCGCACTAGCGGGGCTTCAGGATAGAGGTATCTGAGTGCTGTCTCCACACTCGGCCCACGTTGCTCTGAAGGTACAGCGCTTGCGCCGATACCAATGTTGCGCAGTGGAACGCTCACTCAAAGGCCGAGAACAACCAGATGGAGATAAGTAGCGCGTTTGGCTAACGGTCAGATGTGTGGCTCGCTATGCTGCAGCATGGGTGGAGTATGAAGACGACACCCCTATACCAGGACCCTCCAGCCCCGTTCCCACCCAGTTCTGATCGGAGAATGTGGCTTACACAATTCGAAAACACCCTTAGTGGTCTCCATCTTGTTTCTGGTCATTTCAATCTTTACGTGTAACAATAGAGGAACACTGATGTTTCGTATGATACGCAGGGTGGTATTGATTGGAAGATTAAACCACCAGTAGCCTGCTCGATTTCAGCGATTCTCTCATAAGGCTGACCTTGCTAAGATGCACTTCATTTCCATTCATGCTCGATAAGATATTTTAGCATATATCCGACAACGATTCGCTAGCGGCGCGACTGTCGGCTGAGATAGAAGCTGAGCTCCTCATCATCCTCTCGGACGTCAATGGTGTATATACAGGTGAATAGTGATATTTTAAAAAAAATTATCCTGGAGTTTTGCACCATCCGTTCTCGAAACATTGTTAAGGACCACCGGACATGGAAGGCTCACGTCTTCTTCACACTTTTGTACCATCCGAAGATGCAGGTGTCGTATTCGGGGCAAACAGCAAGTTTGGAACAGGTGGAATGGAAAGCAAGGTGTTTCAAATTTCGACACTTATTTCTTATTTGTTTTCAAGGCCCGCCCTAATACTCACCTGAACCGAAGGATTACATTTTGAGTGCCCGTATGCTGTGTACCTTATAAATTACTGTAAGAACTACAAACGGCCGTCTGCCAGTGTCAATTTAGCGGGTGAATGAACGCTCCCTAAATCCCTTTGTAAGGACCCTGTCAGCAACGTCACTTACCCTCACTACTCCTCAACATTTCCCTCTTTCATTTTGTGATCCTTAACCAACTATGTGAAGAAGAACATCAAGTATCTCATCAGATACAAGATATTACAATAAGGATGAGTCAATATGTACATATGTTGTTAGAAGGGTGCGCTAATTGCTCGTGAACTTTACCAGTAAATCGATGAAATAGTTTGTTTCCATTCAGTGGCGAAAAGTTGGGGAGCAAAGGACCCAAGGGCCGTAGCTCTCCATCGCAACTCTACCTATCCGGGTTCGCCTCACCCTAGAATAAACACTCCTTTACGTAGGATGAGGATGGTGTTTGTTACAGGGTTTATCATCGTTAGAAGGATTCTTCTATCTACCTCTGAAGGGATCTATCTCTGGCCGTGCTCGATCAGTGGGAAGAGAGTCGTAGAGAGGCTTCATGGTATATTTTCCCTGGCCACAGGGGAAATTCCTCCCGGTTGTTGATCTCCCTAATTCACCTGCGCGAGAAGAATACCCCCTTCACAGAATTGGTTGCACCGCAAAACTACTATGTAAGTGCTGCTTTTGACAGTTACTTCTGTTGGTTGATCGTTATATGGAGTGGACCCCAATCGCTCTGCTCAAAATCAGTTTGTGGGGAAGGGGGGGGGGTGTACCTAGCAGAGTTAACTTTTGAAAGGTCGCATTGACACCGCCATGTCAACCATCTCAATGCTGTACCCTGATTTGTCTCGCCATCCCTATCCCTGCTCTACTTTGTCATCGCCTGACCCACCCGGCTGTTGGATTTTCTTCGTTGTATGGTGGCATAGAGCTCACAGAGTATTCCTCAAAAAACACGACTTCCGGACTTTTTTTAACCTAAAGCCTAAAGCCTGATTTTTCGGGAAGCGTTGTTTGAGGAACGTCGCAGGGGTTGCCTCTTGAAGAGTGCTGTCCGGAGAGAGAACTTGGTGACGAACGTTTTGAGCGCTTCTTTTTTTTATAGAATTGTCCCTCTTCAAAATTCACTCCACTAATCAATCCTCTTCAAAATTCTTATTTTTCTGTTGTATCCTGCACCGTATACTTTCCAATTCAGGTGAACGCTTGCGTAACGGCCCTTGAAAACGGTGTCACAACAGTGATCACTAACGGGTTGGCCCAGAATGCTATCACAGATACTGTGAAAGGCAAGAAAATTGGTACCGTATTCTGTCGGACTCATAGCTATGAAGGACCACCAGTTGAAGAGATGGCTAGCAAATGTGAGTTCTGTTCGCAACTGATTAACTGAAGTGATGGAGGTACTAATTCTTCGATCACAGTTTACAGATATTGAATTTTCGATCACTGTTTTGTTTCAGGATGTATAGTATGCCAGAAGTGCGCGTGAAGTTAAGGCGTCTCATGAACGCACACAATCGGGGATAGGCATTGTTCACAGTCTGAGACCCAGACGAAACGGCGGTTCGGCGAAAAGCAAAAAATACTTATTGATCGGAGAATCGCCAACCGCCCCGTTCGACGAACCGCCGCGGTTCAGCGGTTGGGCGAAAAGCAATAGATGCGTATCGATTTCGCAGGCTCCGCCCTAGAGAAAAACGCCAGGGTGGTCGGCTAGCGTTTTTCGCCCAACCGCTCGCCGAACCGCCCGTCGATACGTACACTCCTTATCCCTGAGCCAGAGTAGGCATTTGAACATGGCACGGAACTGGTTACTCGTGGAATATTCCAGTCTGGGACAACTGTCATCTTGTTCTGTGTTGGACAGAGACACGACAACAATTGTGTCAAGATGAAAATATCTCACCAGAAGCACAGACACCTTCAGGTTAGGTTGAAACATGCGGCCACGCCTACCCGATCTCAGGGATTTCGAGTATATCAAATCGTTTCGCGCAACTGCCAGACTCTTCGCACAACCGCTAATCAATACGTATCGAAAACTTTCTAGAGAAATGCTGGCCCGCAGACTGTGAACCTATGCGTACGCGTATTCTGGCGTGGGGCCCCGGATGACCCGGGAGGCGAGACAAGGGTAATGTCAGCTATCAAACAGCCACAGCCGGCCCCCTTCAATGCTGCGGGAAGCGATGGTGGGACATTATATGCTTTCATGGGACCTGAACTCCTCCCTTTTTACGTGCAGTCTTGGGTATATCCCCTGTTATCCTTAACTTATGCATCGGTAGCGGTATAGCGCTGCAAAGCTCACCAGCTTCCTGGACACGCCGCCCCATCTGTGGGATATGGACTGTGCTTTGCTGCCACTTCGGCGACATGGCCTCTCTACTGACTCTATCTCAAGAATAAAAATAATGCTCTGTCTGCTCCATGACAATCACAATCATCGATGGCGGCGGTCATTCGTGCTCTTGCGTAAAAAGATGTGCAATGACTTAGCAAGAAATCTGCACTGAACTGTCAATTTAATACCACAAACAATAACCGCGCTCTCCAGGTCGCGATGCTGGTCGGCGGTTGGCCTCTCTATCTAATGCAGAAAGAGCTGCAATGGTTCGCCATCTCGCTCATCTACTTTTACAGAGGGAAAACGATATAATGGAGGCTAATCGAATGGATCTGAGTCAGGCTCAGAACAATGGTAAGATTCTCAGCGGCATAGATTCCCAGGGAGAGAGAGATTTTTGAAAAGCCTCTTTTTTTTTTTACAGAATCCCTCCAGTTTAACATCTATTGTTCAGGCATCGACATTCAATTATTCAATCGGCTGAAAATGACCAAAGCAAAAATTATGGACCTTCATCATGGCTTGAAAACCATTGCAGACTCGGCTGAAACTCTTGTTGGCCGTTGCTTGAGAAGGGTTAGTGAAAACATTATCCTTTCCAGGACCTTTTCCTTCTTCTGTCCTATCTTGAAGCTTCCGTCCTTGAGACTGCATTCATACTACCAGCGACCACCAGCGCTCCGAACGTAAGGCAGCGTCAGCCATTAGGAAAGTATAGATATCTAGTCAGCGTCCGCCAGCCTCCACCGGCCTCTACCAAGGCCCACCAGCGTTCACCAGCGACCGGGAGTAGAGAGTATGGGGAAGTAGGAAGGTAGCAAACAGCTGGATTAAGCGTCGTTGAATTTCGGCGTGTGCAACCGCACCGCACAACTGCTAAGGCACTATAAATGCAATTCAATGTACAGTGTAGCGTAGTTCTACGGTGCGGTTGCACAGACCGCAAATTGAGACGCCTGATCCAGCTGTTTGCTACCCTCCTACTTCCCCATACTCTCTACTCCCGGTCGCTGGTGAACGCTGGTGGACGCTGGCAGACGCTAGATCGATATCTATACTTTCCTAGTCGCTGACGCTGCCGGAGCTCGAACGCTACTGGTCGCTGGTAGAAGCTGGTTCACGCTCCGCTGAGTATGAAAGTAGCCTTAAAGAAGTTTTGCGAATCAAAACTTTTTATTTATTTATTTGTGCTGCTTGCATATGCCACTTGACTATTTATGAGTGGATAGTCATTTACATTTTCAGACCAAAGTCAGCGACTCTTTGTACCTGGAGCAGGTCACGGTGCCCATTGGCTCCCTTATGGTCATTTTCGAATCGCGACCTGATTGCTTGCCACAGGTGTGGTTTGCAGATATATGAAATACTCTTACTATTCTCAACACTAAATATGAAATACTCTTACTATTCTCAACACTAAACACTTCACGATATCTGAAAAACTCATAGTTCTAGAGAGCATCCTATTTCATTAGCTTGAATGCAAGCTTTTTAAAAGACCCTCGTCCGAGAGGGTTGTTTTCTCTTCCCAATCTCTTAGTTCACTATAGTTTTTTACCTTTTCTTTTTACCTGTTAGAAGCCCCTCGAATCGTTCACTCATCACCGT